GGAACACAGTAGACTGTCTGCTGTTAAGGGTTTTGGGTGCATTTCTCTTTATTTTTCTGGACTTTTGTGGACACTGGTCTAGGAATCTATTTATGGTCATTAGGGTAACACCCAAGATGTTCTGACTGGTCCAATGGTCTTGCTGCTGCTATTCCAAGAAAACACCAAGCAAGGGCTCTGTGGCATCAGTGTTGCCATTCTGAAGCACAAAGCCTGCAGGAGTCAACAGTGACCGACTCCCCTACCACAGCTCCAGCTACAAGAGGAGCCCCATGACTCACTGGGTTTACACTGTAGATACCCACAGACCTCAGATATTTATGTCCAATGGAATCATAGGAATTATCACTTCCAAAGGGACTGTCCTCTGGGAGCTGTGGAAACAGAGACAGATGGAACAAATAACAGAAATTTCAATAGAATAATAGAAAAAAGAGAAACAAACCTGATATGGTAGCACATGCCTATAATCTAGTACTCAGGAAACAGGGGCAGGGAGATGACAGGTTGCAGGCCAACCTAAGCTACACAGTGGTATATCAAATAAAGGCAAAACAAAAGGAAGCAAACAAACAAGCCTCTCCCTCCAAAAACCTACAAAGGCTAGGAGCTGGCTAGACTGTTCATCCTCTGGACCCCTGAGGTGGGAGTAAAGAAGCCCCCCAAGAAGTGCCACTACACTCATGCTCCCCATTTGACATACACACACATAAAATAAATACGTTTCGTAAGCAAATCAAGGGCCAGGAATGTATCTCAATGATAGAGAGCGAGGCCATGGGTTTAGGCCCCAGTACTCAAGAAAACATTAGTCAACTGAACTTTACCTGGGAGGCTTGCTTTGGCGGCACATGAACTAAAATCAAAGTGAAGAGAATCTATTTGGCCCTGGGCAAGGGTGACATGCCACCCCATGAAGCAGTTTGTATTTCATGGCACTGAAGAAAGTGGGTACCCACGTGTGGAAGCTTGGAAGCGGATCCAGTTCTCCGAACCTGAACAAAAATAAACTCAGTTCAAAATGGACCAAAGACCTTTCTGTGAGGTTTGCATCCTCTAAACGGCTGCAGGGAGATGCAAAGCCTGTTGAGATACAGATGCAGGAAAGGGCTCTTGAAAGGACTCCGATAGCTTGGGAAAGAATAGCAAGAATCATGTCTGGCACGGTGGTGCCTGCCCGAAGGGCCAGCATTCAGTAGGCAGAGACCTGAGAGCCAACACAAGTTTGGGGCTGGCATGACCTATACAGTCATGATTTGTCATGGCTACATGGTAAAATTATGTCTCAGAAAAAGTGTGTGTGTGTGTGTGTGTGTGTGTGTGTGTGTGTGTGTGCGCGCATCTGTGCATGGGCGCACATGTGTGTACGAAACTCTGAAGCTGACCATGGGTGTATTCCTTATCAGCTGACCCAGCTCCTCAGCCTGAGAACTTACATTTTAAATGCATCCAAGTCTCTTGGGAAATTATTCATATTTTGGTTTCCAAATACCCAATTACAGTATTCAGCCCAGTACTTTCTAATGTTACCCATCTTTATTTTTGGTTACCATCTTTTTTCACTACCCCATTCCACAATCTGTAAGTTATGGAAGAACCTTTAGCGATTTGGAAAGGGTAGTTTTGTGTCTGGGCCTGTTTAGCCACTGAAGAGAGCTTTGAAGAAAGCTACTAATCTCAGTAGGTCCAGCATTTTAGACTGTTCCAAACAGGACTTCTATTAAGCCTGAAATTTCTCAACATTCAAAGCATTCATGTTAATGCTTATTTAATTAATCATTTTTTTCCAATTTCCTTTGGGTGCCCTAACAAGATTTCTGTCCAAAAAGTCAGCTAGAAAAAATTCATGGGAATGATGTCCAATTTCCTTTAAAGGGGGCTGGGTAGGGTTTTTTGGTTGTTTTCTGGGGCTATTGTCATTGGGAGATGGTTATTTAAGTTGTTAATGATCTTATTCAGAGAGGAAATAAGGTTAGGATATTAGGTAATGTAAGTTAATTGTTAGTTGATTAACTCATAGTCATGTCAGACACTAGGCTAATTTATCACAGGAGTATACATCCTAGGGTTAACAGATAGATATGATTATGTAGAGACAGGTAGTTCTCTGAGGGTTTTGAAGACTTAATGTGTCTCTCAGCTTTGCAAAGGGGGAGATATTTTCTTCACACTTATACGGGATCAAGAGAAAGCATGCAGGTGGAGAGCCCTTACAACCACTGTGTTCTGGAATCTGATGCAACTGTCCAGTCTTAGTTTTCCTCTGTAATTTTCCCAATCTTGGATAGCTCTCAAAGATAACAGACAGGAAGTCCTTAAAGGCACAGTTGATTACTTCCTATATTTGTCTCAGTGATTCCTGTTCTTCACATACCCTCACGGCATGGGAAACAAAGAGAGTCATTGTATCTGACTGCATTTGGCTTCTAGCAAAGGTGTGAGCACCTTTGCTACTTTACATGTAAAGTGTTACTGCTTTACACTTTGCTGGCTGCTGCACACCAAGAAAACTACATCTGCCCTTTCCTTGCATTTAGCCTAAAAGCATGACAGGGGGTGGACCTTTAGTCACCAACAGACACTTTGTGTCCAGTTTACACCTGTCACTGGATTTCCTGTAGGCTTCTCCTGGAGACCAGATTAGCATTCTATGTGGGATGAAGATGCAGAGGTAATTGTCAAAGATGGCAGAACCTAATCTAGATTCAAGTCCTTTCTCACTACAAGGCCCAAATCCCCAGAGTGTGAACTTGAAGCTCCTTGAGTTGGAGCAGCTGGAGGGTAGAACCCAGGGCTTCTTTCCTGACAGACAAGTGTTCTAACCCTGCAGCTCTGGTCCACTTCTAACCTCCTTCCTTTCAACTTTTGCTTTTGTTGGTGCATAAAGAAAAAGAGGAGTGAAGGCATGGTATTTGAGTGAGCATTTGACAGTATGCTTTTTTTTTTGCTTCTCTATTTTATTTTACATGCACACACATGACAGTGTGTGTGTGTGTGTGTGTGTGTGTGTGTGTGTGTGTGTGTGTCTTCTGTGTCCAGAAGAGGGTGTCTGATCCTTTGGCACAGGAGCTTTAGGCAGTTAATCACTCCAAGTGAGTGTTGAGAACGAAATTCAAGTCCTCTGGAAGAGCAGCAAGCTCTTTCAACTACCCAGCTGTCTCCCCTGCCCCACTGTTTTTCTTCTGTGAGGACAGAACTCACCTCCTTTTTTCTCCTACCATTTCGTTTCATTTCATGTTTTTGTCTGGGAAATGAACTAGTCAGTGCGTTGCTTGCTTCTTATACCTTTCTGGCACTACTCCAGATTCCTATGGGATTACAGAATTGTCTGCCCAGGGGCATTGCATGGAGAAGACAGAGGAGAGGAGGCTGGAAGATAAATTGCATGAATGTGTTGCTACAAAACTACTAATAAAACTTCTAACAGGAGGAGGGCAGAGGGTGTGTATAATCTGTTGGCAAGACTATTTAGTCTCAACTATCAAGAACTAAGAATACAAAGAAGTGCATATTATGTCTTTAAACTGCAAAAGGAAGAAATACTTGCCCAAAGAAAACAAAAAATGCTTTCCAGTGCTGCGAACTCCTTTGTATAAACTCACAAAGAAACATTTTTCTTTTTCTTTCTTTCTTTCTTTCTCTTTCTTTTTCTTTTTCTTTTTTTTTTTTTTTTTTGTATGTTTTCTTTGGACAATCAAGTAAGATTACATTCTACATTGCTCAAAGCAATCCGAGACTGGGGCTTATCAGATACAACCCTTAAATGTGTTTCCCCCCCTCTATTTCATGTTTAATTTTTATATTTGGTTGCTAAGTTGCTTTTCTGTGTTTCTAGTAAAGTTTTAAAAATTAACTTTCATTACTTTTCTCTCCAACGAGAGAAATTCCACTTTGAGAAGACCTTGTATGGATAAGGAACAAACTAGACTCCGAATTTAGTTGGATTTCTTAAGTTCTCAGATGTAGAAAATGTGTTTTTCCAAAACTACGCTAATTAAATGATTTAAGATCACAAAGGAAAAGTGAAACTTCCATGATAAATTTGGATAAAGAATAAAGTGCAGAAAATTGAATCTATTTAGAGAAGAGAAAGAAACACGAGTAAGAAGTTGGGTGTGAAGCCGGGCGTAGTGGTGCATGTCTTTAATTCCAGCACTTGGAGGCAGATGCAAGCAGGTCTCTGGGAGTTCAAGGCCATCCTGGTCTACACAGTTAAGCTCCAGAACAGCCCAGAGCTACATAATAAGTTCCTGTTTCAACAAACAGCAAACAAACAAACAAACAAACAAACATAAATTGGGCTCAGGGTGTAGCTCAGAGGGAGGACAGGGTTTGGGTGAAGGTCCCACCCACAGGTGAAGGTGGGACCTTCACCTCAGCAGGAACAAGCGAGCAAGCAAACAGAAGATGAGCAAGCAAAACCTCCAAAGTTGGCAAATACCTTAGAGTGAGCTTTAAAAACAAAAAACAAACAAACAAACAAACAAAAAACATTTTTGGAAATCGTCTTCAACAATAGCATCTTCGTCGGCCAGAAAAGGCCACTATAAAATGCTGCAGAAAGATACCTCTGGCTCCTCCTGTGCCTGAGAGTTGGATAAGCAGTTTGGAAAGAACTTTTCAAAAGTGAGCGACCTGGGGCGCCTGGAGGTCGCCCGGGTGCGCCAGGGCTCCGTTTTGTGTGTTTCTGTGTTTGTGACAAACTTTGTGCTAACAGACACGGGCTACCTCGTCCCCAGACGTAAGGAGGAGGCACCTGCTTTGCGGCTCTCCGGAGCTATCCGGGGCGGGCTCGCCGCGGCGGGCTGGCGGTCGGGAGAAGAGGCGCGTCCCACCTGGGCCCGGGCGCCACCCGCCCAGAGCCACCCTCCCAGAGCCCGCCGGGCGCGCAGCCAGGGCGGCCGAGGGGCGGCGCGGAAGGGCGGAGGGCCGAGGGCGGGGGCTGCGGCTGTCGGAGGAGCGGGGGTTCCAGCCCCCGGCTCAGGCTGGGTCCGCTCGCAGGTGTCGCAGCAGCTCTGGCCATGAGGACCCTGTGGATGGTGCTGTGCGCGCTGGCACGGCTGTGGCCCGGGGCCCTGGCTGGCTGCTCAGAGGCCGGGCGCTGCTGTCCTGGACGGGACCCAGCCTGCACCGCCCGCGGTTGGAGGCTGGACAGGGTCTATGGAACGTGCTTCTGCGACCAAGCCTGCCTTCTCACCGGGGACTGCTGCTTCGACTACGCCAGGGCGTGCCCAGGTCGGTGGCTGGGCCCGGGGAGGGACCGCTAGGAGCCAGGACTGTTCTGGTCGCTTCCAGGCCAGCCCAGTATCAACTTCCCCAATCCCAGTGCCCTCCCCTGGATCCCTGGCTTTCCCAGCCCTTTTGATCAAATGTCCCCAAGCAAGCACTCTTCCCCTCTAGGACATTGGTGGGGCCACCTCTGGGGATGAATTTGTGACTCAACAACTCCAGCTGCGTAGAGTCATCTGAAGCCTGGAAGGATGGCCCTGACAGTTTTCAGGGGTGTGTCCCTGGGGCAGCCTTCACCACACATTCTGTCAGCCTCAAAGATAGAGTTTGGGCATGGAGAAGGGTGAGGAGGCCAGGAAGGTGAAACTATCCCACCTTGGGCCAAGCTTGCCCTGGGAGGGCTTTCTCAGAGGTCTCAAGTGTTTTGCGGTGGGCTCCAACAAGAACCGCAGCAGTTTCCTGTGAGGAGGTTTTCTGTGCTCTCTGGAACTATCTTTAGGGTCCCCCCTCCCCCTTCTTGAGTCTGTATAGTGTTTTAATCCCTCCAGCCTTCCTTCGGAGCGAGGCCTCTTCTTATTTAACTTGCCGTAGCATCCCACAGTTCTATACCCCTTTCAGTCAGCGCTGGCTTAATTGCATTTGAAGGTGAAGAAATTGGAAACATGGTCCTGGAAAACAAGCTATGCCTAAAAGTCAGCTCTGGAAACAAAAGCTCTCTCTGCGTCTTGATAATCAGATCAGTCCCCAAACTGCACATATGACAGGGCTGGAACTCACTGGTCCCCACTCAAATTCTCTGCGTCTTCTGTGCAGAGGACCGAAGGGCTGTGCCACACCCCAGGAACGGGAAGCCCAGTAGCAACAAGGCATCTCTTGCCTCCTCGCTAAGAGCCAGTCATCCAGGCCCGATACTGAAAGGGCACTGCCGAAAAGCTCGAAGATTTACTGACTGACTGAGAACTAAATATTTACCGGTAACAGAGATGCCCTTTTTTGATAAGTCCCCCCCCCCCCCCCGTTTCAAGGCATCTTGCCTCAGACTAAAGGAAGCTGGGAAAGCCAATTACTCAGGAAATGTAGTGAGTCTGAGCCACGCATGCCTCAGCTGCACCTCCGTGGTGCTTGCCGAATCACTCATTCTCGAGGGGCTTGCCTATAAATTAGCTGGGGTCCCGCAGCCCAGGTTTGTGGTGAGCACGACGAGGGACCACAGTGCAGATACAGTCCCTCAGGGAGTCATGATGTCCCTGGACACAGAGAGACCACATGCACACGGTACAGAGGATCCCTGTTCCTGCAGGGGACACTCGCGGCTATAACCGGGGATGCTTCACAGCATGATTTGATTGTTTTGTTCCCGTGTGTCCTTTCATGCCAGGTCCATCTGTCCTTTCATGTTTGATGCTCTGGTGTTTCTTTTGTATTTTTTTTTTTTTCTTTTGGACTTCATGGTCCCATTTAAGTGAAATAAAGCCCCATATTATTACGACAGTGGATCTGACAACGGAGGAGGCTACTGCTTGGCTAATGGGCAGAAAGTGTGCCCAGCAGTAAGGTGATGGACAGAGGGATGAGTAGTATTCTGAAAGAAACACAGTAGCAGAGCAGCGAGGGGTTTTCCTCATATTGCTCGGACCTGCATAAAAGCAAAAAAATTTTAGTTACTTCTGGAATTTCCCATTTAATATTTTCAAGCTGTAGCTGGTTGTGGATAACAGAGCATGGGCAGTGAAAGTCGCGGTGGGAGGAGGGACTACCACCAAAACAGGTAATAGGGGAGACAGTTTGGAGTGAAACTGTGGAGCCTCTTCGCATCGCCATCCAGTTGGCCCTGTGTGTCAGGGTGCTTCCCAGTCCCCAAACCTGACAGAGTGGATGCAACCAGATAAAGAGAGATTCAGGCTCCTCCAGAGGGCCGAGGGCTGAGGGGGTTACAGAGAGAAATTTCTTTCTCTTGGTTTTTGATACAGGGTCTCTCTATGACTGTCCTGGAACTTGTAGAGCAGGCTGGCCTCGAACTCACAGAGATCCACCTACCTGTGCCTCCACAGTGCTGGGACTAAAAGTGTGCACTACCATGTCTGGCTGTAACTGGATTCTAAGAGACCTGAAAGGTCTAATCTGAGTCACAAACCCTCCCAGTCTTTATCTGGCCACAAAGAAACTAAATACCCCCTTTTTAAAGCCTGGGATGTAAAAATAGTAAAATCAATCATTTTGGACTGGGGTCTTATTGGATGAATTCCGGAGATTAAGTGAGCCTACCATCCTGTGAAGAACTCTAAAGCCAATCATAGAAATTGCATGCCTGGGAGAAGGCCTATGAGTGCTGGACGAACAACTAAAGCCAGAGAAGGGAATGGTGTTTGGTGGAAATCAAAGGCGTATCCAAGAGTCCTAAATATACTTTCCTAAGGGTCAACGGGGAACTTCGTAAGCTAAAGAAAAGCAAACTTGAGACCAACAAGGCCCTTGCTGGTACATGCTCTGGTCTGAAGTTTCTTGTGATAAGAAGAAGGAAGTAGAGGCCATTGGAAGCTGGCCACTTGGTGAGACTGAGCCTGCTCATGCATTACAGCTAAGGATAAAGGCAGGGTGGAGCTGAGAGGCCCAGCCTCCTCAGCCCTGAGCAAGCTGACTTACTGTGGGTCAGGATTGCTGTGGGCCTGCCTCCACTGGCCAGAGCTAAATGCAGCCAGAAACTGCCCGTGAGAGCAATGCTTTGGCAGAATGCCTCTATTCTCATGGAATTTTCCCTCCAAATATTTATTGTTTGTGATCCCTGCCCCTCCCCCTCCCCTCCCCCTGGAAATGGCCATAATGTCATGATTTGATCCCTAATGTCAAAGAGTCCTGGGTTTAACCCTTAGTCTGCCATCCCTACCCTTAATGGCTTTGGAGACTGTATGCCAGTCTCTTGGTGCTCAGAGTATCTCATGTGTAGAAGCAAAATGACAACAGCATCTCAAGTGTGTTAATGGAAGATAACACCAAAGAAACCCAGAACTTGGTGATGGCTTGGGTTTAATGCCATAAGTGGGTTGAATGTGCCATAAGTTTCTTCTCTTCCTACAAAGAAAATAATAAGTAAAAACCAAAACATTCACTGGGCGGTGGTGGCACATGTCTTTGATCCAAGCACTGGGAAGTAGAGGCAGGTGGATCTCTGAGTTCAAGTCCAGCCTGGTCTACAGAGTGAGTTCCAGGACAGGCAGGACTATACAGAAAAAGTCTGTCATGAAAACCAAAACCCAACCAACCAACCAATCAACCAAACAGACAACCAAACAACAAAGCAAAAAACCTCCACTGGGGATATCTGAAATAGCAGGATTGGAGACAGACCCAGACCAAAGTCACCTTGCCCTGCAAGAACTTAATGGAAGTCTTGCTTGCCCAGTGTCTCTCCCAAGTTGCTAACTCAGGCCTGGGTTCACGTGAACTTAATGCTAAGATCACTGAAACAGTGGGCTGTGTTGAACCCTTCATAGCAACCTAGGGAAAAGGTAGAAAGAGGCATAGCAATTACTAATTCACATAGGACAGGACAAAAACTGAATAGCCCCCGTGTCCTCTCTTGAAATCCAGTGGGAAAAGGAACATCGTGCTTATGAACTTGAGCTCCCAACCAGTCAAGAGGAAAGGTGGCTGAGATAATGCGGACTGAGGAAGCTGAAGCCAGCATAGTCTCAGAGGCGCCTGTGGTGTCTCTGCCTTTGCCTCTGCAGGGCTTGTGACCCTTACTCAAAGCACTGGACTTAGCAGCAGTGCCTACAGTCCAGTATCAACGCCCAGGGGGTATTTGCTGTGTGCCCCCAGCCACACCGTTCCTAGCCCTAGCCACCCCTTTCACGGCTATTGACTCATTACTACGGCATTAGCACAACCTGGTGATTTTACCCTTCATTTTGGTCTCATTAACATAGAAGGATTAGGTAATTGTCTGAAGGACCACCACTCGAAAATGATAGAGCAGGATTTGAACCTACAAAGTCTGGATCCAGAGCCCACAGCTTTTATACGCTCTATTGTGCTGCCTCTAATAATAATAATAATAATAATAATAATAATAATAATAATAATAATAATAATAATAATTAATGGTTTATGGGAAGCTGTAAATAGATACTACTGGTAGAACAAGTGTTCTGGCAGCTGAGTGTTCTGGGGTGAGGGTCTGTATCCTGATCTTTGCTAATCCTCTACACTCACCACCCCCAATTCTGGTGCTGAGGCTGAACCCCACGCCCATCCATGTTAAGAACGGGCTCTAACTCAGCCACACAAAACTCTCTTCATATTCACCTGAAGATCCAACTTAATGTGTCAAGAGACTGTATATGGCCACCATTATTTGTGGCTTTGGAATGTACTGCTATTGGGACATACCTATATTTTACTCTAAAAATGTTTTCTGACAGGCATGGTGGAGCAAATCTTTACTCCCAGCACTGGGAGGCAGAGGCAGGCTGATCTCTGTGAGTGTGAGGCCTGTCTGTCCTAATAGCAAGCTCCAGGCCAGCCAGAGATATATTGGGACCTCCTGTCTGTCTCTACTTCTCTCTCTTTGTCTCTGCCTCTGTCTCTGTCTCACATGCACAGAGAAAGAGAGAGAGAGAGAAAGAGAGAGAGAGAGGAGGGGATAAGGAGAGGGGAAGGGAGGGAGGTGGGAAGAGAAGAGACTGTAGCATATGTAACTGTTGAGGGTAGTTTGTCAAGTATAAAAATAGCATCAAGGAGACCGTAATGTAGCTGGGTGGCAGAGCCCTTGCTCAGGGTTTGTTCTCGAGCATCACCAAAACAATGAGGGGCCCACAAGTGCATGAAAGAACACAGTTCTCCTGGAAACGCTGCCCAGACATCATTACATTTTTAATTTGTATTTCCCCACCTCCACTTCTGCATTTACATGATCTCTAAAACCCTCCTTGTCTGTCAAAGTAGCTTGTTTCATCTTTTGCTACAATTTTATAGACTAGTCCACCTGATGTCTTAAAAGATTTTGT